CTTGTGCAAAACGTGCTTGGCGTTGTTAAATGTCTCGGTCCTTCTTTTCCTTGCCAACGATGTCACCACCACCGACTATAGCTTGGTCTTGGTCGAGTCCAAATAGACCTAATAATATCCACAATAAGGTTATGAAAAGGGAAGGAACTCAACTTCTCGATGACTCTCGAAGTCATAAAATTCTCTTGAAAGTCACGGATTTGGCTTCTTCTTGACTTGCTTCGATCATGAATGGTGTCGAGATAATGCCAACTTTCCACCTCACTTTGATAACCTTTGGTCTCTACCGCACTTGTCCATGCTCCTCTTCTTTTCCAGTCACACTCATCGTTGTCGACAAGACTGTTGATGCATCAACCGGAATGCGTTGGTGTGCATAATAGTGTGGATAAAGAACGACGGTACTCGAAGAAAGGCTGATTTTCAAAATAATTCTAAGCTTTTAGTTTCAGGAAGCGATACTTTTTTTCTTGCTCAGACCTCAGACAGACCTGTCGGCTTATTCAACCATACTAGTGTAGGACTTTCCCTTGTAGCCACATGTGAGAGGTTTCCATTCGCAATCCTATGATTCTTGAGACTTTCCACTTTCTTTAACTATTTCAACCACATCAACCTCTTTCAAACTGATCCCTTAGTTAACCTTCTCTGAGATATACACTTTATTGGTTTGGACCACACTTATCCCAAACCACATTATATGCCCTAAGTTACACTGAACTATAGGGAAATGTAGTTTAGTACTTTACACCATGTCATTGCCCCCACTGTTATGTTGCCAGCCCGTATGCCGAGCCGAGCGTATCGATGATGGTCTCGCAGTCTAACATGTGGAAGTCAGCACAATTCTTGTGCGGTGGGGGTTTTTCTTACGGAACGTGGTCGTCCTTTTCTCTTCCTTGTGAGTGGAACTCTATTTCCGAGAGTGATCGATATATTACCAATCTGATTGCTTCTACCTTCTTCTTTACATTTCTAAATACCGTCATCTGAATAAGCGCAAGGCCTTGGTTGAAGCTCAACCGAAAACTATCACGAGTTCAATTGGATGATACAGTCATGTGTCTTAAATGTGTCCTCATTTCATGACCCAGAGATACTTGTATATAAGGATACTCTGGAAGTTCAGTATGAGTAGGATCCATGAGCAACTGTGTGTGAAGTCAAGCTGAGGAGAGAACAGGAAAATTTTGTTTCTATTTCAATCATTTTTCTCACCATAAAGCACGTAACCGCGAACCCAGAAAACTCGGGAAATCTATGTGACTCCTGCATGGTATGATCTACGACTGATCAACGTCGAAGGTTTGTGCCTTTCCAGTAAATCAAATCTAGGAGTCCAATCTGAAGTAAATAATGATATGCCCTTATACTGTTTCAAAAGCTTCCTCTGCTGCGATGTTCAATTATTGTATTTCTGGTCACATAAGACCATGTGGTTCTATGGTTACACTCGACTATTCACTTGAATATATGTTCCGGGTTTAAAATATTATGTTTCTAAGGAGTGTCCACTTGAGTACAAAGTTGCAAGTGTTCTTGGTGATTGTAGATAATCTACGTATTGACAAGGTTGTACATAGTCCAAATATGCATCTGAGACGAATTATTCCAAGTGAAAAAATTCACCTACTTAAGTTGGAAGCTACCCTATCGTCGGCACTTGCGGGATTCCCAACTCTAGTCAATTAGTGGGGTGCAAAATACGAAGGTCGGACTAAAAAACAAACTTCGAAAATCCAACTATTTCAAACATGCTTCGCCACTCGCGACATTCCAAACAGGAAAAGCGTAGAAAAATCGGAGAAATCAAATAATTCTTGGGAGGACCTGATCGAGGAATGGGTCGCTTTGGCATCATGCATTCAGCGCTTTCGCACTTTCTTTCGAGTCAGATATGGTGTAGATAGAGTTTCTAGAAGGGGAACAAACGAGGAACGAGAGAGTGGGGAACAAGAGCGAGAGCAAGTATTGTCAGAAGAACAATCGAGATGTCTGCTCTTAGGGGAAAGAATTTTTGTCCTTTGATCTGGGTGATAAATTTCCAGGTGGAGATAGATTATAATTTACTGAAAGCAGCAGCGGCAGCAGGTAGGCCTTTCCATCTACGACTGGAAGCGGTCAGACAACCGTATCATCACACTCAAAAGACCATACATGGCCCCCTACCCTTCAATGGAAGAATAAAAGGACGTCCCCATCTATGATAGCTTTCTTAGCATTTTCCCTCATCAACAAGAACATTATAAACACATCATTACCTCAGGAGAAACAAATTGGGAAATTGGGAAAAAATTTAATATAATTTTCAGAAATAATCAATATAAAAATAAGGAAAGAAAAGCTGAGTGAACCTCGGTTGCCACTAGAAAAAGGTCAGTGGCCATCTTTTAAAGCTCTAGGAAAACAAGCAAGGTCGTTTGAGCATGTTAGCATGGCACGAAGTTGTCAGCTGGTGTTTTCAGATTAAGTTGTGCATCTGGACTGGACTTTCTGGGAGTGTCAAAGCGCAAAATTATAGAAAAGTCTATGTTTCTACGGCCAATATCATAAATGCTCTAGCAGCTCAGTTGTGAAGATCTAGAAGACTATCTGAATTTATCTCACTGTTAGATATTTTTACCTATCACTGTATTGCCCTCTTTTTTAATAAAGATATAACTTTGAATGTCATTCTCTAGGACCTCTGCTCACCAAATTATAAAACGATTACTTTTACCTGGAAAATAGATCTTCTTACACATGCACTCGCGGATAATAAAGTTATATAGAAACTTCTTTTTCACACATCCCCTCAAGGGACCCCAGCTGCTAGTAGACCAAAGAAATGGGATCTCGAGGATCAGAAAGATTTGACGTCCCAGAGTTTCAAGCACCACCGAAAGCAACTTCCAAATCTCCGATCGTAGAGGTTTCCGGTGTGAGGAAGAATTGGCCAGTGGGCAGACGCTTCGAGAGCATCTCCAACGAAACAGGAAAAAGAGTCAGAAGTCCTCAAATTTGACATTTGAAGCCCAAATATACAAAAATCTAATAAAAATCAAGAATCGTTTATTAAATAAAAATCATTTATCAATAAAAATAATTTATTAATACATTTAATAAGGTGAAAACTCAGTCACATCGGTGAGAGATAAACGTAACTATATTTGTACATCAGTCTACCCCTTCCTAGTTGGACCTACGCAATACTGGCCGGTATCTAGATCGACGATGACAGGAGTGACACACGTCAGTGGATCTAGAACGTGTGCCTGGCATCCGTCGATATCAGATAGTGCTCCAATATTTAACGAGCAGTTTACAGATAAGGGCAGGAGACTGTGATTTGGGGTAATGTAGAAATGCTGGAAACTGAAGGGGTCAGGTTCGAGTCTAACGATGATTAACGGGCTCGGAGGAACCATGTATATCCATGAGCGCCGCAGACTGCACAGAGTCTCGGACACTGAGATACTGCATTGGTTCGATATCAGTTGGGGTCGGTTTGTGAGCCCTCACGACCTGGACAGACGAGTGGTCATGACTCGGGTCAGTCCGTCAGTGACTCGGGTCGAGCGAGCGACTGACTGGAGTCCTCCTCTGAGTTGGCGACTGACGTCACTTGGCGAGACAGCGCGAGTCGCGGCTGCTCTTCGTCACAACGACGGCGCCCAATAACTCCATGTGGTCTCGACAATGAATGAAATGCACCCTGGAGGGACTGGGGCCTGGGCCCCGGACTCTGGGTCTGGGTCTGGTTCTGGGCCTACCGAGCCCGAGCCCGACCCCGACCCCAGGTCAAGCAGATCGAGGCCCATGGGTTGAAGGAACTGCTGGGAATTTAGCCAGGTGATGCCCAAGGCTCCCCCAGCAGGTGTACGAGTATTTGGTCTGACAAAGGACGCCCCGAGTGGAGAGGAGTAGAGTAGGGAGGGGTGGAGGACATATACGGTTACCATAGCTGGAGGTGGTCAAAACTGTTCATCGAATAATGGCGCTCGGATCCCATACGGGGCCTGTCCTGGGAGTCCTACCCTAGGATAGGACCGGACTAGAGAGATAGACAGAGAGAGCTAGGCCAGAGTCGCCTGACGGACAGATGAGCAAATGCGTGCTCCTAGAGCAGAACGCTCTTGTCTGATGCTGATCTGGACGTTGCGGAATGACAAAGCGCGCAGGCTCGACGACAAAATCTCGAGCCATCGCTGCCTTTGCTTTGCTCGCTCTGCTGCAGGTCGCCAAGAACGAGAAAAAGGTGCGCGCTGCAGGGGCCGAGAGCATTGTACCTTCCTGCCTGGGACTGCGTACTAATGCGTCGACTCGAGTACAGTGTACAGACGAAGAAAGGCAGCAAGATGAGGCAGCGGATGTGAGGTGCGAGCGAATGTGCTCGTTGCGCAGAAGGCAAGACGACGAAACACGTCGGCTCTTTGTCACGGAACACTTCGCCTCGCCTCGGACGGAGGGAGGGAGGGAGGGAGGCAAGGCAGGACGGGAGCTGTGACGGATGTTTTCGTGGTTCGTTCGCCGTTCCAGCGTCCGATGCATGCTCGCTTTTCTGATGAGCGGTTCTTGCACGGGGTTGATGTCGATTTCAAGAATAAACTTTTAGCTTATATTATAATTAGACGTTTCGATGGCAGCAAGAGTGGTTTCTGCCGTTGCTCGTAGTCGCTTACGGCTGCACTGCAGCCATCAGCGTCAAATATTTTTTTTCGTGCAACAAGATTATTGTCTAGAGATTTATGTATTCACCTTCCGCCATTTTAAGGTATAGATGTTTCTGCTCACGTTGGCGACGCATTCCACATACACGTAGGAAAGAACAAGGACATGGGATAGGCCGAAATTCTAAGGGAGCAGTCACTTACTTCGCTGCTTCCGAATTGAATTTCTTACTCCGTCGTACGTTCTCAAATCCTTTCAAATTCACAAGATTACATTTCGGAATCGCTCGACCGCTGGGTAGAAATTTCGGATATAACAGAAATGTCGATTCTTGAACATCGACAAACAAAGAGAATAACAGATCATGGAGCAGTCGCATTGTCGCGACTCACGAGTTTTATTAACACTGAAGTGGACATTACAGAGCTAGAAGTTGAAGTTCCTCAACTCGGAGCGATCCCGGATTTCGTGTACACTGTTCCACCAGCCTTGTGTCAACCAATCATCGAAGTTGGGCCCGACTGAGAAAAAACATTCTCCACCTGGTGTAGATGTAGGTCTTCAGAGATCAAAGACTTTCTTCTGGTACTTTTGTCCGCTAAAGCTACATGAACTTTCTATGGGTGACATTTTTTAAGGGTCTGCTGATTCATAGACCCACCAAAACTGAGAAACCCGGAAGTCTATCTCGTCACCGAAATCATGACTGAAAATCTACATTGCTTCGGGTTCAACTTTGTTGACGACCTACTTGTAAACTGGTGTTTCGACCATGTCCTATGACAATTTCCGGCAGATGCTTGAATAATGTAATATACAAAGACACCAAGCTGTATCCTTCTATTGCTATTTCTTTCTGCCGGCTTGAACCAAAGAGAACGCGAGATTCTTCGAAATTGGTTCTTTCTGAGAGAAGGAGAAGTCCCCCCTTTTGGGGACCGTAAGTGCTACGAGTATGTAGCCCACACAGCGTTACTCGACCTTTTGCCTCTTGGGCAACGAAGTTGGTAGAATCTCCAGCAAGTCACCGCTTCCGCACTTGGGACAGCAAGGATTGGCCTTCGGAAGCATAATGTACATGAGGCAGCGTTGGCAGCCAAGAGTAACCATGACTCCTGATTCATCGTCGGCGAACACGCTCGCGTTCGTAGTGTCACAAGCCTTGCCGCACGAGCTCGCCTCCTCCTTCAAGTCGTCCGATTCCTCTCCTTGGAAGCTCATGATGGAATGGGAGGAAGAATGGGAAGAGCTCGACGATGCGCAGGACCAAGCGGGGCGGCAAGCCTTGAACGAAGGCGAGGGAGGAGACGGAAGATTCAGAGACAGCGCTTGCAGAGAAGTCAGGCTGGAATTGGTGCAACCGGAATTGTTCCTGCTCAGACTTCGGAAATGCGAGCGCTTCAAAGCATCCTTCACTTTCTCAACAGTACACACACTCGATTCCTCCACTGCAGCCGAAATGTCTTCCGTCTTCGAGGAAAAGACGGTCCCGTTGAGAAGGCCCTCGCCGTCCTTCGTTAAGGTACTGCCACAATCGAACTTCAGCGAGAGTTCGAGCTTGGTCGCCTCCCCAGAGGCGAGATGATCATTCCAGTTGGAGAGCTTCTCCTCGAGCGTGGAGCTCTTATTCCTGGAGTGTTTCTTCGCACCCAAGCCGGGATCACTCAAGCCAGACAGACCAGCGCCGAAAGAATTGCGCAATGGGCTCGACAGCTTCTTCCGAGGGTCCTTGTACGTGCTTGTCCCGGTGATCCTATCTTTAAAATAGATATTGCCCGACTGAAATCATCAACAAGGAGGTAATGCAATGAGTGTCTCGTCATAGATAAGTCGTCGTCAGAGTAAAGCAAATGACTGAAGTCCTCGGCCGAATTCCAGACAACGGATTCGCGCCTCGCACCGGGAATTTCAAATGAGTGATGAAATCTACGACTAACAGAAACTCACAGCAGCCAAAACCGACCTAACAGAACAAGCTAACCTACGGTCGGGTCCCAGTTCGCAGAATAGTCACCTGTAAGTCCAAACATTTCTCCCAGCCTGCGGGAAGAGGGGGATTCGGATCAAGTTCCAGGAAAATTTTGCGAAGGCTGGATGGCAGCATGCTCTCGATGCCGTCGTCCAACTGGTGATCAAACTGGCGCTCGTTGTCCATTCCTGCTGTTCTTTCCATAATCATCTCGCCGCGCCGCGCCTCGAACAAGAGGAACTCAAAAGGAGGCACGCGCGGAAACCGGAATTTTTCGCCCGAGTGCAGCTAGCAACGTAACGCCAGTCCCGCCAGGGCGATGTTAAGCAATGCGGTGAGAGACTTAATTAATGAACGCAATTTAACAGCGGCCCCGGGCAAATGCAGTTCTAGTCCGAGGCAGATTCCGTCCTGCGGCGAGGAAATTGTGGAGATGGATTCCCAGAACACAGCATCCGCAGAGGCGGATAAATTGCAGCCGAGATGACGGGACTCGCGAGCGGCGCAGCGAAGTCGTGTCAACGTCGCCAGGTGCTCTCACCTCACCGCCCCTACTCCGGTCACGCTCACGGCGAAATCTGTCTCCCGAGTTTCGGCACTCGGGGCAAACTCACGCTGGCCGCCGCGGGCCACGAGCTGCAGCGAGAGAAAGAGCTTTTGGGATGAATGGGCCGAGAGAGAGAATGGGCCGAGACTAGACCGCGGAAGGAAGGAAGGAAGAAAGAAAGAAAGACGACGGCACGAGGAATGACGACAGGAAGAAAGGTAGGGCGACGAAAGAAAGAGCCGCAGCAGCAGCAGCAAGAAAGTAAAGGGCCTGACGCTCGCTCTCTCGCTCGCTTGGCCCCTCTTTCTCTTTCTCTCTCTCTCGCTCGCTCTCGTCCTCACGCGAGCACCTCCTTTTCTGTCTGTCTGCGTCGCGCTCCCTCTCTCTCTCTCTCTCTCTCCCAGACTCTTCTGACTCTGGCTCAAGGTTCCGTCTCTTCTCTGTCTATATGTCTGCCTGTCCTTTAGGCTACCTTGCGGCCCTCTATATATTTTCCAGAATTTCGATCGAAATTCCGGAGCTTTAATGGCACATTTCCGAGTCCCGAAAATCTGGCTAATCTTACTGCCTGCCCCTTGATCTGGAAGGGGAGGGGAGGAGGGTCAGAAGAAGCCAGAGCCAGAGTATTGAGTAACTCCCTTCCCTCTCCCTCCTCCTCGTCCTCCTCCTCCTAGGCTCTGCCCAGCTCTGCCCGGAGCTGCCCGAGCCTGCCCTGCCAGGTATGATATTCCTATATCCCCACTAAACGCCGGCCAGCCATGGTCAGAGCCATGGTAAGTCGATCATGTCCGATCGAACGACGAACCCTGGGGGGCGAACTGCGTCCAGATTTAACCCGGCGGTTGGTACCCGATGGATCATAGAACCAGTCATTATGTAAGATTCAGTGCCCGAAGCTGGAGACTAACAGGAAAGTCGGGCGACTGCCTGGCAGTCGCGGACCGCCCAATGAGCGACTCGCGGGGCTTTGTGGGCTATGATACTCTCATTTAGTGTGCTTCATTATTTCGAATTTCTTTCGTTACCAAAAGCAGAGCGAGCGAGCGAGCGAACCATCCATCCTTTAGGAAGCAAGGGAATACGAAGGGCACTGCAGTGCAGTCTCGCAGGCAGGCAGAGCGGGCAGACACACTTGCCTCTGCTCTGGCTGCCTGTCTGAGCCTCTGCCTTGGACACTTGACTTGACTTAGACCGGACGGACGGGCCGCGACGGCGGACGGATGGACGGACGGACGGGACGGGACGGGACTCGGGAGCTCAAGAAAATGCCATGCGCGATGCGAAGCGATGGGATGGGGGCCGGGATGTGGAGGCATCGGACCGTTTGGGAGGGACGACGGGGCACGCAGGCAGGCAGGCAGGCGGGCAGACAGACAGACAGCACATACATACATCCATCCGTCGGAGTCGGTCCACTGTTTGACGACGACTTTTGACGACTTTCCGCTCATTAAGAAGGGTGCCGCTAAATTGGCATGTCTTCCAGGCGTGTCGGCGCTAGGCCGCTGGAATAGCGCAGCCTTCCTTGCGCCTACGTGCCACGCCGGGGATTTCCTGCTTCTCGTTCTCGACCCGCGCGGGCGAGGGCGCATTTTGCCGCATCCACGCCATGGCGGCCCCCCCGGGTTATTAATAAGAATCGATCAGGCGCGGCTCGGCCCGCGGTCACGACTGGGAAAATAGTCTCCCCGCCCGCCCGCCCGCTCGTTAATAGGGAGGAAACTGCACTGTCGCCTCGCGCAAAACACAGCCCCCGTTCGTCGCCATGGCCAGAGATAGCTCGCCCTTCCCTTGCTGCCGGAGAGAAAACAATCCGGACGGCCGCACGACTCGTCTCTCGCTCTCGGCTTCTCGCGCAACATGTCCACATTGCACAACAATCTCGCATGAAAGGTTCGACCTCCCGATACAGTAAGGGGAGGGGAAGGGGGGGGGGGGGGTCGCTTTGCGCCGCGATCCCTGCGGACATGAATCGCATCGCCCCGCCCGGACGCAAGAACAGCACCCTCGCTGGATTTGGCTTGCATTGTGGAAGTTTGTTAAAGGCGATCCGAAATTGGAGGGGTCGAGAAGGTCGTGAATTGTCGATTTTCGATTTTCCATTCATTAACTCTTTGTTTAGAAGGTTGACCACCATTCTTTGATTCTCGTTGTGTCTTTTCCCAAAGAGATTCCGCTCCATGTTTTTTACGACATCTCATTTACGCCCCCCCTGTAGACGACGAAGACGACGACGACGACGACTGCGAGAAAGTGACCTAGCGATCGAGTGGGACCACATCCTCGCCTACATGCAAATTAACGGAATTAAAGAATCGTCCGCTCGCTTTCTTCTTTCTCGCCCCAGGTATTCATTTCTAGCTGCCCCCAGCTCCCAACTTGCTCCTCTTGCTCCTCTTGCTGCTAGCTCCGACAGCTGCTCAAGAACGGGACATATATAGGCAGCGACAGGCCGGATACTTCTTTCATCATCATCAGCTTATCGTGAACCGAGGAACTGCTAAGGCAAGTGGTGAATCACCATCCTGGTCCCTTCATTATTGTCGCTGCCCCGCTTTTAGTTACTTCTAGACTCCTGGCCAAATACTTGGCCAGTGTTTCTCGGATCGCGAGGCCATGTTTCGAGAGCCGAATCGTTCGGGCGAAAATACCGAAAGGAGGCATCTGGACAAAGTGTGCTTTTGTACTGGGCTGGTCGTCGCTCCCGTTGGAGCTGTGGAACCTTGGTCCACGATACTCAATGATATCCTCGACCCCATGATTATGCGTTCTTCGGGAATTCCTAAGTGGCCGGGAGGTACTGTCATGGAAGAAGAAGTACAGTGGGAGGGGTACTGTACCCAGTCGCGTTGAGTTGAGTCTGTGTTGAGAGGCGAGTTGCGCAGTGCAGACTGTGCATGGCGGACCTGGACCTGGACCTGCACTGCTGAAATCATTCGCAACATGAATGCACAAGTATTGGCAAAGTTGGTAAAGACAATGAGCTACCGACTTCCACGTAAGAATGTGTACATCACCCTTAGCTTCAGGGACCGAGCCGAGGCAACGCAAGTCCTTGGCAAGACGAATCTTCCCTTCCTCGTTGAACCAGAACACCGACGCCCTGGTTTGCAACCAAGCCCAGAAGGGAGCTCTCTCCGTCTGCTTGTGTAGAGAGGTCGGAGCGGCAGGGCTTGCGAATTCGGGCTGCCATATCACTCACTGTGTCTATCATGCAAATGTCGTTCATTAAATAAATGAATTTCCTCACGCTCCCTCGAGACTCTTCCATCGAAGCTACCAATCCAGGTGCCTCTACGCCTATCCCACATGAGAAAATGAGCGACTGTTGAGTGTAGCAGCGATCTACGTTGTTGTTGTTTGATGTATTTTTGGGTCCCACTCAAATGATTAGCCAGACTCCGTGTGGCAATAATAGCTGCTGAAACTCGCCCCTCTAGGTCCGTCTTTCTCCTCTCTCGTTTGGCCTCATGGCCAAGAGTCGCTGCATGTGAGTGCATGTTTCGTCAAATCAGGACAAGAGGGAAGATCTTCGGAGTCGTCTGTTCTCGGCTACAGTATGATTGAGTGAACCAAACCCCAGTTGGCCCTGCAAACGGAGGCCTGTTTTGCAATTAGTTAACCCTTTCTGAACTTAAATATCCACAATTCGGCCTAACTTATTCTAAATCATTCACGTTGAATTATGGATTTGGCATGCAATTTGCTCATCACCCCTCACATTTCAACATATGTCAACATCAATTATTGGGTCGTGATATCTTTTCTGGTTCAATCGTTTGAGCTTCTGGTGTGTGCATATGAGCAAATAGTCTATACACATGGCACAGCAGCATAGTCTTGCGATGCTTTCACGGTCCGAGTTGCTCTTCGCTGCCTCCGTTTAACGGTTCACCAAACACTCGAGGTTGACTCCCGACGTCGCAAGTCCACCATCATCCTCTCATCCTCTCATCCTCTCATGATTTCTATGGGCCACGGCCGAGAGCGCGGCTTCTCATTCCCGCATCTGTTGACAGGACCGAGCAAGGTTCACCCTCCAGCATGGACTATTCCTCCCTTCAGACCGAAATAAGGATATTATTACCAGACCCTTGGAAAGAAGTATCCAAATATAGGACAATAATATCACGAATGAGATGTTCATATTCAACAGAACATGCATCTTTGAGTCTTCAAAATCGAGTGTCGTAGTCTGGGCACAGAAGTAGGAATGGAACCTACTTTTGGTGATATGTGGATTATCCTGATTTTTCCGGTATTTTCTTTTGCGGTAGATTTTGATATTTAAAAGTTCATATCTGGATCACTCAAGTTTACAGGATATTTTCACATCTTTATTCACTTTTTATTCGTTATGACGCGCTCTTGTGATAAGGTGTACATGATATTATTTAGTTTAGTCTCGTTAGCATTAATAGATATCAAGTAATGTATGCTTATAAAGTTAGAAAATTATATGAAATAGTAGATAAACTCCATTTATTTTTATATATTTTTGAAAATGATTAAGGAACCAGATATTGAAAATAAAATCGTGCAAACACATTATAAAAATGAGCGTAATTTTATAACAAAATTTTAAGTTTTCTTGGATCAAGTAAACCAAATTAACATTTGATCTTTCTCTTCGCAGTGATCATGTTCGCCCCAGAATGGGTTCTTCGCCATAGGAATGATCATAATTCCACCCTATGTATAGCGAACAAATCATCTTACTGTGAAATATTAGTAGGAAATAAATTTGAAATTTTCTTACATGACCCGTAAAAGAATGAAAATCAGCTTAACCAAATTATATCAAAAGATATAGAAACTGTTTTGTTTGAGCGTAGATTCATGAACGAAAATTTCCTATGGTAATTCTTAGAAATCAAACGATGAACTATTTTATAGAATATATATTCTCATGGAATTTTTTGTATGCCATTATCACATACACTCTCATTATTCGTTTAGAATCGTTTGGGTAGAAAGATTAATATAGTGACGTATCACACGTGATACGTCATCGTTGTAATAATATAGATTATCATCCTGAATAATTAAAACCAAAATGATCTGAATCTAAAATCATTTGCAGCATCAGTTACATACATTTCACTTGGCTTAGTTTTTGAAAAGAATAATTGTGCACACTTGTGCCATCGACATGGTTTCATTATCGAAATAAGCAGGAAGCTGCTGCGCTGAAACGGTAGAAATTTCTCGTAAACAAAGACGAAAAGTCAATTCCTTGTCAGAATTAATTCCCATGATTCGATCAGCAAAACAAGCCATTAAACAGAACGTTATGTACACAGGCGTATTAAAAGAGGAACCGGGGCCCTCATGTGCGCCCCATGGAGGTTCAAGATTTCCACAGGGTCAAGACCTCGCCTCGAGCTCGAGCTCGAGATTAACAACACATGGCCTCAAGAAACACAATATCTCGAACGAGGCCCTCGTACGGCAGGCTCAAAAGGTTGGTGAAGATTATTTGGACAGTCATAATCGAACTAGGCAAGAAGCCTCATGGCACTAGGCATATTTTTGACCACATCGCAGCATGGGATGCCTTGCCTTGACCCATCCATCCATCTTCCATCATTATCGCCATCATGATCCTCTTCTCCAGTTGGCTATTTGATAGGAACTGAACTGGAGGGCCAGGTTCCGTTGCACGTTACGAGCAAATGCCTAGTCTTTATGAGCGCGAATGGGAGGGAGGCCAGGGGGCCCGGGGGGAGGCCGCGCGAGGGGGACGAGGGGGGGTTTTAGGGAGGAAATGCAAGAGGCCGTCCCGGCCGGACGGACTCCGGAGCGAAGGCAAAAGGCGAAGACAATTATTCCCCTTCTTTATGGAACTCGCTCTCGCGGATTCCATTCCCTTGGCTTCCACGGTGCGTGCCGATTGCATGGTCGAGAGAAGAGAGAGGAGAGATCCCGTCGAGTGACAGAGAAAAGTTACATTTTCCGTGCGGGCTCGCGGCGCAAATTTCACGGAGGGTGAATCTCGTACTTCCTGGTGCGTGAAAAGATTCGTGGCTTTCTATTTGGTGTGACCCGGCGACTGACTTACCTAGAGCTTCTGGTTCGTTCTCGCGGTTAAAGATGACACGAGAGGGAAGCAGCGAGGGGCAGATAATAGCAGCAGCAGTTTGTTGTTGTTGTTGCTGTTGTTGTTGCAGTTAGTCGGGGCCCTAGGACGGAGAATGAGTGGAGGAGATGAGGACCCACCACAGAACAAAACCTGAAGGAAAGCGGTGCGCCAGGAGACGGAGGGGGAGGGTGTCAACATGGGGGCTTTGAAGACATATCTCTTTTGCCGTTTAATACTCGAGCACTGTGTTCAGTTTGTCACTTTGCCCTACATTCAATGTTTCGTGAAATCATTGATTCTTGATGCAAATCATGGACGAATTCCTTCAGGTCATCGTTCGCGCCTCGCTTCCGCATGCGAAATGAAGTTAAATGCATTCCGCTCGTTGAATGCCTCTCGCTTGCTCGTCTTGATGGGAAGAGTCAATCAGCATCATCAATCTTTTGTGCATCAAATATCGCCCCCAGCACTTATTTCAAAAGCGACGACGACACTGCTGCTCTTCCTCTCGAAAGGGCCAAACCGCTTTGGAATTTTGACCCGTCGCTCGTTTTCTTGGCACCCTCTTCTTCCTGCAAAGTTCGACACTCGCAAATCTCCCATGACATGGCCTGTCCTTCTCGAGCCTACCGGCCATGATGTGCTCTCTCATTAAGAAGCAGACTCGCAAAGAGCAGAGAATCGGCTTCTCGGCATCAGCATCGTACACTCCACTTACTCCAGACAAACAAAAAACTGAAAGATCGCCAAGAAAGGAAGTAGAGTGCCATGCAAGAAACTTTACTCCGTCGTTAGTCCGGTTTATCGCCACTCGAGCTCGGCCTCCCGGCCGCCGTGGCGACTATCTTTGATCTATCCTGGCGGAGGCCGCACTGTGTGTCACCCGTGGTGGATCTAGGGTAGCTGGATTTGGTGTGAGCAGCGACGCATTTCTCTCCGGCTGCTGCTTTCTTCGATGGGTTCGGAGCCAGGTCCGGCCATGTCTCAAGGGGCCTTGTCGTCGTGCCTTTCTTGCTTCGCTCCGAGAAAAGCAGTTTGCCGAGCTTTCTTCGGAGTCACAGCATTGACTGCGACCTCAAGCGGCGACTCTGTTTTAACCTGAAAATATGAGACGAGTTCGTGGCCCGCACTGCTGGAGTGGACAATTTTTCAAGACAGTTAACGATAATTCTGCGTGCCTGCCAGCCTCAAAGTAAGAACAAGAATTCCAGCCGGATTTAGAGACCAAACCCTAGACTCGCAGTTGCAACCCTCCCTCGTCTGCAGACAAGCTTGCACTCCTGCCTCTCTGCCTGCCTGCCAGATCCCTCGACCACTTCCTGACGGGGCTGGCAGACTTCTTTTTCCTGGCGTTCTTTTCTTTCCCTTTCGGTGCTGAGTGGAGATCCACCTCTTCCACTCTAGAGCTAACTCGAAGCATGTGAAATGCGTCGCCATAGCTAGACCTAAGGCAAGTAATTTTCATTTCCCGGTAGAAGGGGACGAATGCAGGCTTGGACTTGGCTCTGGCTGTCTACGCTCGGGGTATCGTGACTAGATTTGTAGCCTCACGGCTTCAAGTCGCGGCATGGATGCTCGAGTGTCCTGAGGTCCGAGGGAAGAGCGAGAAGCGAGCGAAGGTCGGAATCTCAGGGCTTTGCCTTGAGCCGAGCCCACGGTTCAGACAGACACACACACACACCCACAGACAGACAGGACGGAAGAAGGAGAGAAGGAAAGAAAGGCAGAGAAAAAGAGCAGACACACGAGACGGGACGATCCAATCGCCATCCGCACGACATGATTGGAACGCACTTGAGTCGCGTCGTCTTCATGCGCTCGTATAGAGAGGGAGAGAGAGAGGCGAAGAGGAATATCCAAATGGATGTACTTTCATGTTTCCATGGACGGTAAATAAAAAATTCGAGGCCTTCGATTCGTCTCTTCGTTTCTCGCGGTGTCGCAAATTCTACGTCCTCGTCGTCTTCTTCTTCTCCTACCACTACTTCTACTTCTACTTCCGCATCCTCTTCCTCCTCCCTCTTCTTGCTTTGTCCACACAGTATCTTCCTCTGACAGGTCTGAAATCTTGGACCCGAACTGAGCCCAACACGTGTACAAGTCGAGGATGGAACAATAACGAAAAGGGTACACTCGAGACACTCGTTCGTACCGAGCACTCGGTCGGTTCCAGACTTGAGATTCCAGATTTGTGATTCGGCTTGAGGGCCAGCACTTTGGCCTACCTGCGGTAGTTTAGGGCTAGTCGAGCCTAGGTTCGTCTCTTTTCGCCGGTATCGACCTCATTCGCTCTCGTCTAATGTCACGAGGAGAGGCGGATGGAGCATGGATAGGGTACAGAGCAGGAGAGCGGCAGTTGCTCCAGGTTTCCGGCCTGACCTGACCTGACCTCTCCCCTAGTCGCGCGTAGGCGTAGGCTCTGCTCTGGCCCCGTTCCAGCGAGGGAATCTAAGCTCCAACCAGCTCTGGCAAAATTCCGATTTCCAGTTTCTGTTTGGTCCTCTCGAGCGCCCAAAAGCGATTCCACGGTAGGTGAGATGAAATTGCCGTTATCCGCTCGGTCACGACTTGCTTCACGGTTATGGCTGCGAAGAAAGTTAAAGCGCATCTGGAAACCTTTCGCAGGCCCTTTCTCAGGCTGCGAGGTCGCAATGCAAGGCAAGGCAAGGGATGGAAGACACGAGAGACTTTTCCAAATGTTCGGTAAAATCGCTCGATATGCCGACGAGGTGTGTCATTAAGATCAGAAGATATTAACATCGAAGTGAGTGGGCGGATCGAAGGCTTGAGTCTCATCCAGCCAAGGGACTGTGATACGGAATTTGAGTCAAACCGGTAGCCTTTGACATTCACATTAAATTGCAGGCTTGCATCTGTGAGAAATCCCATGCGATATTCGTCATCTGTTCCTTGCAATTGTGACGAATGTCTTGACCCCTAGGCTGCTGCTGATGCAGTAGCAGCTACCGTCGAGTGAATCCATCCATCGACAGGCTTTTCCTTTCCGAGAGTCTCTCTTTTCGCCTTTACGTTGGGCATGAATGCAGTCATTCAGTCATCCGATTATTGACCAAAGAAACGAGTCATAAAAGCATGAAACTTAGTACAAATGCAGTCTCTACTAATTGCAAGATGCCCTTTCCACGAGGCATCGTCCACAGCCTCGTCTGGCACCGCCACCAGCTGATTGACTCACTGACTGCTTTCGTCTCCAATCACCTTTCCCTTCAACTGTAACTGTGACGAATGGATCGACAGGGGTGGACACTTCTCGCAACACTGCATCCTTGCCGTCCTGGCCTGTTGCCTGTAGGGATGGGGCACGATTGGTTTGGGAATGTGGAGACCTTTATGATCAAAGAAAGGGAACGCTTTCGAAATATACACCTTTTCAATAACGCAAAACTCACGAGATCATCACCCACCAGTCCAATCGCCCAATCCTCCCTCGTCTCGTCTGCAGATGCTTTCTCTCCCCCTCGACAACAAAAGCCTCAGTTCTAGCAAAATCTCTAGATTTGTGCTATTGAATATCCGAGTGTGCAACATATTAGGTACCTGAGTGTCGGCCATCTCTGACAGTCAACTGGCCCACACTCAGGTCCCACCTGATGAAACTGGATATGCCACAACTGTGAGCTACTATCACTTCATGCATTCGGGCCTGTCACTATCGATGGCTACCTGCCGACAAGGTGACCCAGCCGAGCACTTCGTTCTTGACAATGATAGAACGCGAAAGGCTACGAATCATCCATATCCACGTGTGAAACAGATGATCTTCGCGCATTAAATCCGCATTGAACTCCATACTCGGGACCTCAGAAATCGCTCATGAAGACTCACGCGATTGATTTATATAGCAATCCCACCAACAGGGTTTTGAACAAGCCAGTCCTGATCTGCTGGTTAAATCCTGTGATCGAGAGTGGACTTTTCCACTGAAGCAACCGAGGTCAGCCATCCCCGTACAGAAGTGAGAGGGCCGCCCCAAGACAGAGCGATCTGAACACAGGAATTAAACCGTCCTACTGTCCAAAACTCGGTCATCTGAAGGGAGCTCCCATCCGTACAAGAGCAAAACCAGCAATGGAAAATTTTAATGACAGTACAAGGAAGTGCCCACGAGCAAAGATCCAAAATCAGCCGCGCTTGAAAGCTGTATCTTCTGTGTCCCGGACATAGCTAGCCTCTCCCTGGTGTACAAAGCTGATAGGAAATCTGCCTGAATAACATATCTAAACGTCTAGGTTTAAAAACAATCCTCCCACCGATGGTAAGGGTGAATTGACAGCTATTCTATGTTTCTGTTTGTTTCATAGCTTCTCAAAGATCCCCATATACAAGGATCACAAACATAATAAAAAGCACGTGTAACGAGGACAAGCCGGCATTGAACAAGGGCAGAGGAGAATCTGTCCTTCTCCAGAAGTTAGAAGCATTGCTCAATACCGCCCAAAAAGTCTCCTCGCACTAACATTACAAATTGCTGGAACGATCAGCTTCACTCTACCAAGCTTCGTTGCATATTTACCGATTGCCGCCTTGTAGCTAGGCCGCTCCTTCATCCTTAACCAATACTCTGAGACACGCTTGCGATCCTCGATCAACGATGCACCCTGTGGTAGCTGTTCTATTCGAGCTAGGACAGGTATGAAAGCGACATCAGCCATGGAAAAGTCCTGCCCGCACAGGTACTTGGAGTTGGTCAGCTCGACGTCTGCAGCATCTAAGATATCAATAAGCTGCTGCTTATTTGCGGTCACTGCCTCTGAATCCAAGCGCCTAGCCTCCAATTCATGCATATTGTTGAGCTTGGCGTGATACTTTTCTGCCAGATCTGGAAATTTGGCCATTCTCGCAATCACAACTCGCCTTCGGAATCTACTGAAAAATTGCAGTACCTTTTCAGGATAATGCGACAGAGTGAAAGGCTTGGAATCCCATGCGTCTATTTTAAGCAACCAACTGTGTACCAAGTCACGTTTCACTCTCTCTCCTCCCAGAGGCTGATTTATACTGTCAATATATCTGTGGAAGGGGAAAAACAATTTCAGTTTTTCAAAAGAGACTCTTCATACAGAGCACACGGACAAATTTATGGGTAAAGCCTGATAAAAATCATAGAAAGCAATCTTTGCCAACCCATGAAAATTTTCCAACGATCTGCATCAAACGCAAACTGGGTGATCAAAAAACACTGAAGAATGTCTACTAAGTTGGCCAATAAAGTGCACGAAGGGAAGTGATTAATCGACCAGTGTGTCGACACTCGTTTAACAGGGATATCTAATATGCATAGAAAACGCATTCAATGACGACAAAGTTATGATTAATAACTCCCCATTCTGAAATATTTGAACACCACTTGTTGCATAAGCACAAAATGATAACTGAGTTTTTGTGACAACTCCAAATCTAATGAAAAAATCAGCGACGTTGTCCACTTCCACATCAACAAACGGAAGGAAAGCTCATTGGGGATGGGGGAATCTGGTAACTACAAGAAAAGGTTCACTGAAGGGAAGAGGTACAGCAGAAAAACATGAACAATGAAGTCAACGTTAATTTTGAAAAACAGGGGAAATCAAATAGAGATAGAATTTAGCAAGTGACAAGACACTTCATTTGTTCACCCACTGGCAACCACGAGTATGACATACATTGACAACTCCAAAGAATCGCTGAGGGTGTCTCGCGAGTTAGAATGGGAAAGAGCGGAGACGATCAGAATACAATCAGATGGAAAACTTACTGCAAAATGGCGAGAGTATCGTTCATGACTGTTTGGCCATTAATGAGCACCGGAATCGTGCCATCAGGATTTTGTCGAAAAAAATCTGGATCCAAATTCCGTGCTTTGATTGGGTTCACCCTGGTTGGCCAGTAGTCCACCTGTTTTTCCTCGAGGGCGATACGCACCTTTTGACTGTTGAAAGACAAAGGATGGTGGAAGAGCTGCATGATGCTCTCTTTAATGAAGTTGTTTACCCATGTCCATAAAACAATAGTATCACAAAGAATCATGCAAATCTGTTGCCCCGATCCACCTTTCTTCGACCCTGTTGTAATGCTCTCTGATAATGTATCACTTCTGGATGCCTACTGACTATTCTCAAGAAACTCTACTCTTGACAGTATGCTCCGGCGTGCACCAGCCAACTCTTCCTCAAAGAAAACTGGCCATGATTCAGCTGCGTTGGTGATCAAATCTTTGGCTATTGGTACAATCTCCTCAAGCTTGGAGCTCGTATCAAGGCTTCCATCGTCCTCGTCTCAAGCGTCGCTTGTCCGCAGCTTCATTCATGTTGATTCGGATGACAACCAGATATTCCGATTGAGAATTACAAAAACTCTGATCCAGCAAACTTTAGACACACAAGCACCAAAGTCAATAAAGTGTCATTCACATAGACACTTTTGCACATGTGAATACATAGCTTTCAATGATCAACTCAAGAATGAATTGACACAAATAGAATCCCGAACAGTAATAGGCATGCGGAGGATCAGAAACGCAGCTGGAAAAAGCATGACCATCCTGACGACTGTTTCTCTTGATACTAACAGATTCACTGCAGTTTAGGATCAATACATACATATCAACCTCCAGACAAAACTTCAAAATCTCCGACAACCCCGCCCAAGGAGGGAGAGAGCGAGCGAGCCAGGGAAGATTGAAAGCTATAATCCAAAAATAGGATCGGAGGAAGAGAAATCACAGAATCCTAAGCCATGATCCCAACATAGGAAGAAACTCAACAAACAGACAGGATGCTCGCGGGAAAGATGTTCGAAGAGACGTGACTCCTTTCATATCAAGAATACACACAGTTGATTCGGGAAAGAAATCAGAGCAGAGGCAACGGCGCCAGAGAGATTTTCGAGCCAAGCTTTTCCATTTCCACTCGTCGTTTCTTTTCCCAATCATCGCAGCATCCTATACTATACTGAGTACACACCCGCGCACTGGCACCGTATCGAGTCAAGAGTGACCGCAGCGAGCTCAGACACACGACCGAGCGACTGACACAGACTTGAGTGATAATCATCATTGGCATCATCATCATCATCACAGGAAAGTGGTCAGTACAGAGCTGGACGCTCACCAGTGATCGAAATGAAGCTCAAGAAGCCCCGCGAGGATCTCCGTTCGAGCTGGAAAAACTTCCCCCACCGTCCACATAAAAAAACTGCGCGCAGCCGAACTCGCGAGCTTACTCCGGACGGATTTTCAAGAAGCAGCAGCGGCAGGAGAAGGAGAGGAAGAGGAAGAAGATGAAGAGGATGACGGAACGGAGCAGAGCAGAGGGAGGAGCAGAGAAGAACAGAGCAGTGGAAAGCAAGAAACCTTCTGACAGGAACACCGCACCCACTCTGGTCTGATCCCGTCTCGTGCTCGCCTGGCGCCCCCACTCACTCCACCCACAAGAGGAAAGAGGCGAGCGGTGCTACGGACAGGAATCGAAGCGAAGGGGAGCGAGAGGAGCGAGGGGGACCGACCAGTAAGCCCAACGGCAGCTGGGACGAGAGCTGCGGCTGCTGCTCAAGGCACGTAAACAGACAAGAAAAAGAGGAAATTTCAGTTCGGGCCAATGGGAGGCTTTGGACGCATCTTCATCTCCCGCTGGGCTGTAATGTGCTGTGCAGCAGCATCGGATTTTAAGACAAGCTTTGACGGGGCGGGGATGGAGGGGCGATGCACAAGAGCCAAAACGTATATGATCCCAGCCCAGCACAGCAACAGCACAGGAGCAGTTCAGTTCACTTCAGTTCACTTCAGTTCAGCTCAGCTCCGCTCAGAGCCGAGCTCAGCCCGGCCCAGCCCCGACCCAGCCCACTCAGGACACTCGACGATGAGCGCAACGAACGCAGAGAGCGAGCTGAAGAAGGTCCCGAACCAGACAGACAGGACAACAGTCACAACGAGCTCAGCTCAGATCAGCTGCTGCAGCTGCTGCTTGTTGCTTCCCTTGGGAGGGACTGAGGGACTGACTGACTGACGGACCGACTGACTGACCCACCGAGAGAGAGAGTGAGTGAGAGATGGCTCTGGAGTCTGGACAACAGTCACACAGGACAGAACTCCAAAAGCAGGCCAAGTTAAGTCAAGCCAAGCAAAGGCAAGAAAAGCAGAGGAGCGGAGAGCGGATGAGGTCAGATGAGATGGCTCCCCTACTCATAGCGGCAGCAAACCATTTGGCATGGTAGCTTCCAAACACCAAAAGTACCTGCTTGCTTTATTAAGCCCAGACCAGAGGGTCTACAGCTCTGGCACTAGCCCCAGTGTGGCGAACAAGTGTGATGTGTAAGGTAAGACCCGCGTGATGTCCTTAAGCCTCTCCCCAGTCCCTCGGAGTCCCTCCTTCGGAATGGATGAGGACAGGACAGCACAGGACGCGACGCGGTCTTCATGGCCCTCATCCCAGGCGGGCAAGTACCCCTCCCCAACAGACATAATGTGATATGGTGGCTGCCCCTATATTATTCGATTCCATGCGATTTCTCTCTCTCCCTCTCTCTCTCTCTCTCTCTCTCCCACACTCTCGCACATATCTTCCGTTTCTCTTCGGATTCCAGCGCCGAGATTCTCTTCCCTTCTCTTCCTCTCACCCACAGGTTTCTCGTATGCTCCCGTTCCTTCGTGCCAATTTTGACCCAAGAATTATTTACTGGCCTCGAATATTGTCACGGAAATCTTCGGGGTTGGGTGTTTGGGAAAGTATCCTTGATCTATGAGCAGTGGGGAATCAACCATCCATCTATCCATCATCCCTCCCTCCCTCCCTCCCTCCCACTGACTTCTTTGCTTGCCCTTGTGCTGTTTCTGCAGCCTTGCCATTGACATTGCAAGGGGAGGGCATACGGATAGTGTGATTCGATTAGTGCGAGATTTATATAAAAACTCTGATCTCGTGTGATGTCATTTCCGAGGGGGTTAATTTTTGTATCATGTCAGCGGCTGGTAGAGCATCAACTCAGTTCTGGTGTGCTGGAGGAGCCTCCTCCCTTGCGTCCTTCCAACGTTGCTGTTGTTTATTGTGGAGCATGATGCAGATTGTCAAACATAAATCAACGACACTTTGCAGCCTTGATTGAGAGTTTGTTCCGATGCGAGAGAATCGGTTCGTGTGAGGCGGGTTACCGCACTTATCATCATTCCAGCACTCATCATCATCATTCCTCGTCCAGCGCTTTAATTCTTCTCATTTGCTTTAATTTGCGCTGCTCTGGCAAATTGTGGACTGTGGACGGACGATATGAGTTTGACTTTTACCACATTCTGTCCCATTCAGTTTACATGCACCTGCAGTTGCACTGCGACCTTTGTACATTTCTTCCAATGAGACAAAATTAAGGAAGTGAGTCGCTGATGTGAGTTCGCCAACATCTTCCCCAATCCAGGCTTATAAAATACAATGACTTGGAAAAATACATTAGTTGATGCTCTTCGGGAGGAATGTGAATTTTCGTTTTCTCATAATTTTGCCCATTCTGTCGTTTACCTGAGATCCCAAAACCTTGATGGCATTTCATTTTTTATAGTAGTGATGTGAAACATATTTTCCGAAAAATCTATGTGTCTTACATTAGGAACACTATTTCTGATTTTAAAAATCCCACCTGAATATTATGTCATTTCCTTTGAACTCCGCCATTTCAGTTGGATAACAATGTGTTTTGGTTGAAAATTTCGAACTTTTTAACTTAATCAGACTTTGCGTTAAGCATACTGCAGATATTTTACTGTTAGTCTATTTGTCAATAAATTAGATAAATTGAAATAGATGACAAGCCGAGCTACATTCTCATCTTTGATGCTTTAGATATGTATTTTACTTCCGTTTGAAGTATTTCATTCAAGTTTTGTTGATTAAAGGGACTAGTATAATCAACCCTCCATATAATCATGACTGGAATAATAATTTAATCATTACTAACCATTATTTATTTATTTATTTATTTATTGGTGAAAACTCTTTAAAGACATGAGCCATGTGTATACGGCAACAGTACAAAGTAATTGAACTGTTGACGCGATCACTGTTGATCAGTTGCCTCGTCTACATTTTAATCTTCTCCATGATCTTTGAGCAAGTACTAAATCCTCCACTAGCTAGAGCTAGCTATATAAGATGGAGTCTCACATATACATTTAGTACCATGACAAAAATTTTGTACCATAGCCAATATCGCTATAACAAATTCTTGGATTTTATTACCCTAAGTAAGGTATATTAAATAAGCGCAAATTTAAGTAATTAGTGGTGTCTACAGCTGAGTAGTCACTTGGCTACCGTTTTAGTCGCCATATAATCGTTTATTGCAATGTCTTAAGTTGAAAATTAGTTTCTTAAGTAGTTTGTGTATGTATCATTGCATCTTGTTATTTGACTGTGCAAATTTCAATTGCAAAGCAATAATAATTTACATCTTGATGTATTCCTAAGATATCCCAATCTTATTAAAATGTATTCACACAGCTGGAAAATCCGATGATAAATTTGAAGTAGAAACCCCACAATATATGAAAATTTCTTTTCCAATAAGAACTTTCGTGAGTAGACATTGGATGTAAAACCCGAGAGAGTTTACCGATGCTTCGAAGAGTTGTCACGAGGGGAGCACAGTTTTACGCAATGTCATTGAAAGGGATTCCGTTGCTAATCAAGACCTAAATGCAATCAAAGAACATAATCAGTCATAGAACAATTGAAGAGAAAGTGAGATGGAGACCATGCTATCGGTATGTGACGAAAGAACAAAGTTAAAACAAAGGGAGAGAGGAAAGATTCGAGAAAAAATAATTGAAGGTGGGACGAGAGAAGCAACTTACGCCATGTATATTAGATTAGTGGTGACTGTTTAGCCGACTTGTCTGCAGACTACTATTACATTACATTTTCCTCTGGGAAGTGTAAAATTCGTCATTCCTTCAATCATCACGAATTGCAAATCTTCAGTTTCAAGAAAAGTGTATGGGAATGGTATGATTTATCTTTTGCTAAATGGGAAAGTGGAGAGGTAAAAAAAATGGAATCTGAGTTGTGAGTGGTTTTCTTTTGTGCAGAATTTTGTACTTTTGGGATGTAAACTCTCACTCGTTCTTATGGTAGAGAAATGTAAACTTAATACAAACCGTGCTAGAATCCATGATTTATCCTTTAAAAAGAAACATAAAAGATGATGAAGTTTAAGTATCCCATCTTGATAGTAGCTTTTTGAGCTCAATCAACAAAACATTGATCTTACATAAAGATGCACTATGCAATATAGCTACTTCCGCCATACCAAACCATACGAATGAAATTCCAGGAGGAGATAAATCAGGTGGTTTATATAATCCAACCATTTCCACATTTGCAAACTCTTCTATTAATTTTTCTCAAAGTTTTGAATAATTTCTTTTTTATTCTCGATCATCAGGTACTTAATGTACTGCCTCACTTTGAAATCTTTTGGAATTTTTTTTTGAGGCAATCAGTAATACAAAATGAATGCACCTTATCATGTTGAAAATGCTAAAGCCTTCATCAAACTCCATAATGTTTATACTCACAAGAAAATCCAAACTTTGACCCAACATGTTTATCATACATTAAAACTCTATTTTGAAAATTGATGTAGAGAGATGTGGTGGTTTTCACTTGTATGTGTTCATTACATAATTATCACTAATTGCTAACAAACATCTGCATTGTGTGAATGTGGAAACTAATTTAGTAACATCTATTTTATTGATGCATGCTCAATCATGAAACAAGAAAATTATATTAAGTCATTTTCCAATATTTTATTCAAAATAATTATTTCTAGTATAAGCCAGGAAAAAAATTTCACTCACAGAGTTCAATTACTGTCATTTTGTCATTTTTCCATCAGCTCACATGAAACAAATTCTCCACAACGGTCTTAATTTAACACATGTGATATCAAAACTTTTAATGAATCCACACCAATCTAAGTTGTGTACAATATAGTCTTGTTGTAATCCTTAGTGATTTATTTCAATGAGCAAGAAGCATTTGAAAGCACCAAAGGTGATTTTCAGATTTCATGGCATTGGTTGGCTCAAGTTTTTTTTATTTCTCTTATTGCAAAAATTGATCTTGTAAAATCTTGGTGCTGTGAATGTAGGTTTGATCCATTTATCTCACTTCCAAACGAGTGTAACATACATGCTAGTTATTTCTATCCTCGATGAATCTTGAATGATGGGCAACTAGATATCTAATAAATATGAATAAAAATAGTGAAAAAAAATCATAATACGATTTATAAAAATAATAATTTTCGTTCAGATCAAACAGCGAGTCATCTTTTCATCTCTTTGCTCATAAATTCAAATTTTCACGGTAAAATATTTATTCTAATTAAATGCAGAGTCACAATAGATATGTATTAAAACCTTTTTCTGCATTTTCATTCCAAGATCTTAAACATCATGTTATTTTTATTTCAAAACTTGATCCTGTGATTTTTGGTACTTTTATCCAGCACATAAGTTTCCAATTTCATCTCTTATCCTCAAGTATTATACTAAGATGTTAATTTTTTTAACACATGAAAATTATCATATGGTTTTAATATTTATTAATTTTCCTTAAGCATATACTGGAACATCAAAAAATATTCAAAATTGATCTTTTTCGTAAATTTTTTGTAAACAAATCCTAGACTTTTCTTTTCTAAAAGAGTAAACTTATATTCTTTTAAAAATTTTGAAGATCATGTGTTTTTTAGAATTTTCTTTGGACGTTCTAAAATTATCCTCCTACATCTGTTATTTCTGAAAATTTGTATGATTAGAATTAGCATTGTGAAAGAAATTTGGAAAAATGTTCACCGATTACCTTCTCATTCTAATCATTTCCATGCCAATATTGCTCCGATTTTTCTAGGCTAGAATTAAATCTTAGATTAAAAATTTGCAATAGAAAGATAATCACCTCCAAAATTTCACTAGCCAAATTTTTTGTTTGACTCTGGTATTTAAGGATAATCGTTTACTTTCAACTCTCTTATGTGAGACATTATTTGTATAGTGTGAATTATTTTTGTCCAAGTTATTTCATTTAAAATGTAGGTTAGACAAAATATATATTAAAAGGAAAAATGAAATGAAATAGTATGCATAAGAAAAAAAATTGAAGGAGAAAGAAATAAAAATTAGATGCAAACAATTATTATTGTTATCGAATTGTATGTTATTTCTTCATCGATAAATTTACATTTTTTTCAAGAAATAAATCATGAAATCAAGGATATTTTTGAACACATCATTTGATCTATTATCAATTTGAAGTAAGTCATCAAATCAATGTCATAGATATCACTCCAAGTTGCAAGTAAGTATTAATGTTTTGACAACAAAAAGATTTAAACTTGTACTCCAAACATATAATATCAAGCTTGGTAGTCAACCAATGTAATGCATGTTTAAGTTTATCTATATGGTTTATAAATCTTAACCCTTTCAACAAAGTGGAACACACCATACGGCATAGCCAAAGCAATAGAAATGAAATTCTTTGTAATGAACCATGACAAACAAGAATCCAACGAAGGTATATTTTTCTCAGGTTTTGGCATCACAATGAAAACCAATTACGATCATGTATGAAAAGTGATGGTGACAGAAGAAGGAATAAATTAATAGATGTATTAAAGAGGTAATACAAAAGAAAGTCCTCTATAAAGCTCCAACAGACTTCTTAACATCTCTATCATTATATTCATGTGAGACTTAGTTCCAAACGTTGTCAACTTCTTAGCGTGTAGTATCTAAATTGGTGAGGAAAATATGATATTTGAAATATGTATTGAGTTGCATGACAGCAGTTAACTAAAACATATGAAAACAATTGATCTTATACCTTCGGTGTCATTCTCCATGAAGATAAGCCTACTAGTAACAAGCACTAAACATGGTGCTAATGAGACATTGGAATGTGATACTATATCTATGGAGATCCCAAGAACGAGGAATCTGGGAAAGCGAAGGGAGACGTAACGGGTTTGTGGATCCGAGTTTCATGGAACATCTGGACTTTGGGATGTTGGGGGGAACTAACGCATGATGTGGCCCCTGGTACAGTCTTACTGGCCCTCTTTATGGGAAAGACTGGACGTCGACTCGACAATGTTTGCTTGTCGAGTGGCAGTCGCTCCATGTCAGCGCGAGCATGCATGCGCCGCTCGCTCGCTGCTGGTAGGGCTCAAATCGGGCCAACATTTCGGTGTTTGTCAGGCGGCGCCGATTCCTCGAAGTGGAGTTTTTCTCGCACCGCCTCCTTTGGATCATGGCCAGTGGGTCGCCAGGTCCACATCTTCCGCCCTGATTGATACTCTCATGTCTTGGACGATGGCCCCCACAAGTCTCCGAACAATGAGCTCTAAGTCGACCGACTTCGATCCATCTCCCAACTGCATGTCCTGCTGCGTTCTCGTGCCGATTGGTCGTGTGTGTTTGGAACGTTGAGGCTTGTGGAGGAAGTCCATGAGATCAGACCTTTACACTGCAGTTTAAAACTGTTGTACATACGGAACAAGAGAAAATATGTTATAGTAGCGCAAGTTAGGGCTACATATGAGATGGATCGTACCCTGAGATGTGAATGGCCGCGCGCGTTGTAAGGACAAGAATTGGGCATATGGACATGCATCGAAATCGGAGGAAAGTATTTTGGCGAGCACTCCTTGATACTACAATCCGTGATCAAAAAGTCTATGCATGAGAACAGCTAACGTCATACATGCCCCCCAATTCAAATCAGAATCATACTTTCACACGCTAACTCCCTTCACGAGCGACACCGCAACTGACTTTCATAAGAATACTGCATCTGCACAGTGGGTCTAATTTTTTCCAATAATCTGGAGTACACCAAGTCACCAGGAGGATCTAGAAGGTCTACGTAAGGCAATCCTAATCTCCTGAAGAGGACAAAGGCTGTGAAGGAAGTACAGATTGAATGTTCGTAGAGTACAAAGGTCGCTATGCCTTTCATGACATGGTAATGTAGCGCCGGAAGGTGAAAGAAGGGACAATGATGGGGTCCCAAAGTGCGCCCGAGTCAATGAGTCTAGGCTCCTCCATAGAGCAAGGTTGCAACTCCAACTGCCCCAAATCAATGTAATTTATTCATCGATACTCGAGGCTGTCGATTTGATACCCTGTTAGTGAGGCCTGGGCTTGTCCTTACGCCCCAAGGTTTCGTATCGGCTTTCGTTCCTGCCTGTGTTTCCGATGTTTTTTAATTCCTTGTTTGTTTCACCTGAAGGCCCAGTGCCATACTTCCCAAGGCGACCCAAATTTGGCACGACGATGAGCCAAATACAGATTCGAATGTGCGAGAGAAGAGAAGCCACCTCCCTTCCGTCGATGGTGACCACGTGCCGAGGGCATTATAACAACACTTGCAACGATGACAGACGCAGGAGCATGCGCCGTGAAATTAGTTTCACTGCAAACGATGGCGAACCCAATGAAGGAACGAAGGAACGAAGGTACCGCGCAAAGGAACCCAAATCAGAAACCGGTCAAGAAAAGTTCCTTAGCACCCCTACGGCTGGCTGGCTGCCTGCCTTGCTGACGAGCTGCAGTACCGGCACGCCCGTTGCATGTCATCCTAAATTTAGACTCCTTTCTATCCTTCTCCAGCAAGCATCCACTGCCAACATTTGAACCTGCCGACGGACCAACAAGTGCCCTAGTCACACTACCTATCCTACCACTGAAGATTAATTATTATTTGACATTTTATATTACTGGGACGTGGTTATCAATTCTTATTATCCCATTCTTTTTCCTACCAGAAGATACTAGTTTAACTAAGTTTCGTGATTTCCAGTCGCTACACGTTTGTTCCTTAGGAATCCTATCGAGCTGACTAGCTATCTGCGCTGCCAGCCTCACGGAATCCACCAAACAGCATTTATTTCGTTCGAGTCATGTATTTTCTTGTATCTGCATTTAATGGCATGCGCCTCTGTTCTTCTTTGTTTTACAAGAGAAACGAACGAAGTGGATGCGGTTGTGATACGTTTGGAATTTAGCCCCAGGTTTCCTTTTATTAATTATTTATGGGATCTTCCCATGCTTTTCACTTATCTACTTAGACTTCGGCACATATGGTGTTTGTTCAATAAAGTGTCATGGATTATGGAACAGCTATCTTGCTATAAATATAAACCTTCAGGTGTACGACTTTCCAGAGGGACTGCGCAAAGAAACTAGGGCTTATTGTTTTCTCTAAAAAATTTGATTAACGAAAACGAGACCACACTTTAAAGACTTTTTGTATGCGATGATGGGCAAGCACTCCTCTTCTAGAGATTCTGCTTGTCGAGGGAGAAGACACGAGATGCTTGAACCGAAAGTATGTCAAGTTGTTCAAATTAGAAAGTGCTCAACCTTATGGCATCCAGCACTTTAAAATGCCTTTTCCTCCTTTGCGTTCCTTCTTTATTTCAATTCCTTGACAAACTTGTTCCGTGTACGCTTCTAGAGGGGATTTCATGTGGCCACTACTCTCTCTCTCTCTCTCGCCTGTATTGTGGGGCATAATGGACCTTTATCATGTGCAGAGTATATTGTTGCTGACCTTCATAGGCAGATGACACATTGTTCGTAAGACATGTGTGTATAAAAGTGGCATAGAAGGGTTGTTCTCATCTGTCTCACTCTATGTTTGCCTTTGCCTTTGCCTTTCTCTTCTTCGGTCAAATTTATTGTGCTCCTTCATTTTCCCTTCGTTGACCTCACAGAAAAGCTAACATATTATTTTTTAGTAAGCATGGACCCAAGGAATCATAGAAGGTAATTGAAAATACCAATTTACTAGTTTCCACTTACACGAAAATCCTGTATCAGTTACTTGAGTGACCAAGTTTATTTGAGCCTCATATATTCCGATATTATTTACATTTGTCACTTATATGACTATTTTGTAGATATATACTGTAATTTATCTCATGAAGAATTATTCAGTGTCTGGTAGATCCTGAATCTCCTCCTGATGCAACAAGGGGGACAAGTAAAAATGTCAAAAGAATGGAGATAGACCATCAAGGCTTACACATATGACACCAAATAGATAACATGGCTAGGTCCTCATAGGACCAAAATGTACTGTTGTCCACGTCCACCTAAGATATTTGAATAACCTATTTACAAAAAGTAGTAACATTCGAGGAATTATCATTTAACGTGATTCAATTAAGACTACAAATGAATTGAAGGATATAGATTCTTTATATAGATTCGCAAGAAAAATTTTTATTTTTTCAAACTTGAGTGCCAAATGACTCAACAAATATTTCATGAAAGGATTTTTTTAAGTAAAGAATGAAAATCTTAATTGAAACAGTATACCTGCTAAAAGTCTAATCATTATGATTATTGAAATGCACATGTTTGAATATCTTTTGATTTTTACTTACATTTTTTAACTTCACTATAATGTGTTCTATGTTAGTGACTTATTTTTCATTCAACCTAATCATTTTAAGTAAAGAATGAAAATCTTAATTGAAACAGTATACCTGCTAAAAGTCTAATCATTATGATTATTGAAATGCACATGTTTGAATATCTTTTGATTTTTACTTACATTTTTTAACTTCACTATAATGTGTTCTATGTTAGTGACTTATTTTTCATTCAACCTAATCATTTTAAGAAATTCCATACGAGTTAGAGTTAATAATGCAACTTCCGTTTTAATTTTATTTGATAATATATTTATTCATTTATTTATAAAATGTGAAAAAGACTTGAATTATCTCATTAACATACTTCTATTGATGAACCATGTATTAATTCAGTCTGATCATCTACTTGTGTTTTATATCTCGGAATGAATGTCTGTTTGCTCGTGCAAATGATCATAGCAATTGATATGAGAGTCATGCATTGCAAGGTTACCTTTGCAGTTGATGCAAATGCTAACTAGTGAGTTCACAAAAATCTCCAACAAGCAAACAGACCCTTGACCTCATGATTTTCACTTCATGCATAATTAAAAGGAGAGCTTAAGATCGTGACTACTGTGAAAGTTCTGGGTTTTATGATAGATACAACGCATGCAAACGGAAGCGGCAAGACTTCAACATGTGTCAAAGAGATGATATTGCGGATGCAAAATCTTTAGGCCGAGTATTGTGGTTTGTGAGGCTGGAATTCATAGGCAGAAAGAGCTTTGCAAAAATAGAGATTTGTTCTTTCTCATCCAAGTTTGATGCTTAGTTAGAAAGAGTAAGGAGAGCAATTTGATGTCTTGTGAATCTGGTAGGGGTTTTGTTCTTCATTAAGAGTTTTGACGATTTTTGGTTTTTTGTCTCCGCCGTGTTTATTTTTCTGTCTGAAAATCAAACAAACAGATAGACAGATCGCAGGAGCAAAGGAGGAAAAAAATTGTCTGAAGAGAAACCGTGTGAGATGAAAGCCATTGTGGCAAATGCTAACATGTAGAATTTGAATTGGATTTTGACTATTGTGCTCTAACATGCTCAAGCTTGATTTGGAGGAAATGTTTTTTGAGTTCGACCCTACGAGAAGAGAGATATGAGACGAGACTAGAACCAACAATACCTAAATCAGGGAGTGCAAGCTCATACTTCATGCAATGATTGTTTTCAAATGTGATGTTCAATTTAGCAAATAGAGCGTTAGCTTATATGTCATGGATGAACTATGATGGACGTAAAACATGATTTAATTGTCACACAGATTGAAAGCGTTAAAAACACTATGATTAAATTCATACACATATATGAAATTTGAATTGAATGTTCGTGAATGACACGGCATGAGGTTTGAGAGTGCAATACGTATAACTTTAAAATATGGATCAATTTGTTTATATATACCGCATATACAGTATATATATAAAAAGGTACTTTTGATACTTAGTAGAAACCAAAGTATCAATTTTGAGCGCTGTAGTCATGAGATGGAAAAAACCATGCTTAATCAAAATTTGAGGAGTATTATTGAAATAAAGAAAATCAAATATGGTCAATTTGCAAATGTATACAATTTGTTGGATGTAAATTGAAAAATATTTCAGATTTGTATATAAATCTGACCTACAGAGCTATTTAGAATAAAAAATCAAAACCTAAATTTGAAGCTATATAAATTTTAAATGTGTTCTCAAATGTGTCAAATGAGAGTTTAAGAGTGAAAGAAGTTAAGTAGTTTGATCTAAAAGACATTTGAACTATGTTTAGGCCATCTAACTAGGAAAGCAAAGTCCAAAGACTAAGTAAAGAGGTATGATAGTGCAACATGAAGCCACCAAGTCTAGCATAGTACTATTTTTTTGTTATCATTTAAATTTAAATAAAATTTCACATTGCTGTTGTTTCCAATTTTCATTCAATATCAATTGTTAATATTCAAGGAGTAAGACAGAATTAAATCACTTTTTTTTTTAATTTTTCGTTTGGATCAATATGTGAAAACTTTGGTTTCAACACACTTATGTGTTAAAACCATGGAAGAGGGAAAAAGGAAGAAATTAATTAGAAAAATGTCTAAAACATTCTAACACATTAATGTTTTTGCTCGATATTCACATACTATTCATCTTTTTAAAAAGTTTTGTGTGAAACGTAGCCACGTAAATGTTTTGAATTTATGTATTTATTGGTTTCCATAAATCGGACACTAGATTGTTAGTTTGTAGAATAGTCCGGATTGCAAGAAGTCAATCTATGTATAATTCAAGCATGTACTAGGATAAGATACTCTCTTGATTAGACCTATGAACAATTGGATCAAGCCATATATTAGGATTTTATCTGAAAATCATGAAATTTGGTAAATTTCTTTCAAAAGTAATATATATATATATATATATATATGTTACAATTCATATGTTGATTAGGATATTTAAACAAAATATGTATTAGATAAATGAAATTACAACACTTCTTATGTATCATAGTAGTAAATGTACATTTAAAAATCATATTTGCTTGAAAAAGTTAAATGTAGTAGAATTCATATGTTTATGAACAATTCATTTTAACTCTATATAAATCAGTCAGAGTTTTCAGTTTAGCATTTAAACTATTGATATACGTAAACTTTTTGAGATAAGCACATATTCTGTAAGATAGTGATATGAATGCTTACAAAAAAATAATTTAATATTAAATCCATTTTTTTGCACATATTAAAAATACAGATTCAAATCTAAATTTATTTCTTAAATTTTCAATATAAAAACTCATAAATATAAACGTTTTTTAAAAATATGAAGGAAACGTTTTTTACTATGAAATTTCCTGTTAAAAAATCAGAATATATTCAAATATACAATATAAATGAAAACTGAGGAAAATTTTTAAAAATTGCTAAAAATATATTATAAAATTCATAAAGATATAATTTTTTTAAAAAAAATAAAATTCATAATTTTCTTCATTTTGATTTTTTATATAATTTTTTTTTGATATTCGATAACATATAATTTTTTTGATATAACAGTTATATTAAGAAATTCTTACAAAAAATTTTAAAAATTTTATTTCAATAACAACAAGATAAGTTTGTTGTGATTATGATTAATTTGATGCATAAATTCAAGTTTCAATGATCTGAATTTATAAGGATAAAAAAAATCATGAAAATTAAAAATTATATAAAAAATAAAATACATGAAATAATTTATTTTT